AAACATATTATTAAATATTCATTAAATGCATTAAATAAAATTATCAATTAACACAAATAATTAAATTTTATGAGCACAACAGCAATATAACTTTGTAATGAATATATATTTAAATAATAATATAAAGTAAAAATAAGTTAATGTTCTAAGATAACATCAACATCCAAAAATATGTATTATAGCGTAATTGGCCAGTACTGGGTCGCAGGTTCTTAATTAAAACATGTTTATATTGTTTTACATAGAGTTAAAGAGAAGGAATTGTAAGATACTTTGTATTACTTTGCTTTGTATTTATTACAATTGTGACAAATTAGTATTTAACGTCAAAGGTACGTGATATTTTAAACATGAAACAAATTATGCAGACAAAACCGAAAGTTACTCACTGCTAGTTTCTTTTTTGCTTGAAATTACTATATTTAATAATATGCATGCTGAAGAGACCGTAATTTTCTAGCGTATAAGACAAAAAATACTTTGCTTGAAAAGTAAAAACCGACTTAAAAATCTAAAAAGAATTTTTTTTTTTTGATATATGAGCTCCTGTAGTCAGTGCTTAGACGTGACCTTAGATCTTATAGTGTCTAGATAAATAATTGCGGGCAGAAAAACATAGAAAAATATACCTATATCCGTTTCAAAATGGCGGTGACTTTTTTCAGTTTTACGACGAATTTATATTTATAGACCATTTCGATTACCTGACATTGATTTTAAGGGAATTGATAATAGAAATATGAGTGAAGCTTTGTGAATTTTCAATTATTAATTTTGATACCGTGTAGTGACGGTGTAAGAATATCCACTACCACATATCATCCCGTGTATGTCCAAAGAGGCGACAGAGGAAAATAAATCAGGAGATGGACAGCAGCGTCTTCCTAATAACGACTGAAATTAAAAAACTGCGGTTGCAAAACCGCTTGCCAAGTGTGGCAACTATGGGAAATTTGATAAAGTCACACATAAGCACGTACCATAAGGTGAAAGCGCCAGGGTAACTCGCGAAATTCAAATTTTCTTACGTTTTTTGCAATTTGCAGGTCAGTTTGTATGTTTAACAACAAATGATTCGCAAATGTAACGAGTATGTATTTACAGAATTATAATTATTATAATCATCAATACAACCCTCTAAGTTCGTATAATCCCATTGTATGGCTGTTTACAGAAAAACTCATTCACCAGTTGAGAACACACTGGCGAATGAGTACCAGAATACCAACATAAAATAGAAGCTTAATGCAGCTGTGTTTCTTATGATGAGTGTAGAGAACCGGAGTTTTTACTGAAAATGAGGCATTCCATCTTAGTCCTCAAGGGTGCCGACGCATCAGCATTTTGATTCTTAACCAAGTTTAGATGAAGATGTCTATGGGCCACAGCATCGGCTTACCAACAGGTGGTTGTATGCTCGTTTGCCAGCCTTATCATATAACGAAAATATGACTCATCACATATTGCTTAGAAGTATTTGAACAAATTATTGTAAAGGATAATTTCTTATCACTTGACATTTGCAAAAGTACAACATGTCGGTTAAAATTTTCGTATGATGCATAGTTAATTCTTTATGATTTATTAAATTCAGCTTACTATAATATATAGATAAAATTAAAAATGTTGTAAACCCATTCAATATAAATAAAATGAGAACATCTTAAATGTAGTCGAAGTCAATTAAATAAGCATTATTAAGGATAACTCAAAAACTGCTTATCAGATCTTGATTAAATTTATATAGGACCACATGAGAAGCACCAGCTTTCAAATAAACTAAGAATTATCCAAATCGGTTGACCTAGAAGTAAGTTCAGAGGTAACACACAAAAAAATACAGTCAAATTGAGAACTTGCTCTTTTTTTGAAGTCGGTTAAAAAGAATATCTACAAATTGAAAAGTAAAGGAATGTGCCAGATGTTGTTTAAAATTGTTTTTCGATCAGGTCTCTACTTTAAAAGAGGAGAACCATGCTACAGGTGCAAGCCATAAGTTTTTCTCAACTTTGTAATTCGCTCTCATTAATTTATAAAGCAGAAAACAGTTCGCCACAATACCCGAGTGTAAGGTGGTGAACCCTAAGCGTCCTTAAAATACCAAGCACTTATACAAACCCCACTGTTGTACACAGGCGTCATCAAACTTTCTATGAGGATAATGGAACAGTTGTGTCAATTGTCGCATCTTACGGATTTTTTTTTATTTGTGATAAATCAGCACAATTGAGACCGAACATGAACGAAACTAGGTTAGTTTGCAGCACCCGTGGTCACGCGAGGACTAAGAGGTGTTCAATGTCCCAAAGTAATAGTTAACCACGGCTACTTTCAATTTAAAACCATCGGTGCTGCAAAGTACTCGAAACGTCGGGAGTATAAAAAAAGTTTATTAAATGCGATAAAATCAGTAAAAAAACTAGTTAAGGTCAATGAATTTTTAAATTTTGATTGTATGATTGTTAAATAATGTCAAAACAATTAAGCTGTTCATCAGACACCTTTTTAAATAGTTGTTATGAGAGATAGGGTTAAGTGAAAACCATTTTGTTTAGTTATTATGTATAAGTACAGTCATTAATATATTTTCTGTGCAGAATTAATGTAATGGTTATGATAAGAATGTCAATTTCGACTTTGACTACAATTTCATTTAAAATTAATGTACAATAGGCATCGTTAGTGTTGTAATTAGGTGACAAACGAAAAGCGGGCGTGGCGACATCGCCATTGCACCCGTCGCGGCTCTGCTCTGAGGCCTTAACTTATGGTTAAGGGCTGGGCTTGCCAACAGTCCCCGATTTTCCTGGAATTCCGGCATGTTGGTTTTAATAATGAAGTTTCGACAATTGACCTTGTGGGACACGCCTCATGTCCCGGAAATCAATAAACAATTAATCATCTCATTATAATAATTATGACAAGATTTAGTGTTTAGAAAAAAGTTTAAAGTTACAGCCTAAATACGTCCCACTGCTGGGCACAGGAGAGCCTCATTTCTGGGGGTTTTAGGATAAGGAAATGTCCGCCGCGCTGATCCAATGCGTGTTGTTCAAAGGTGATTCATAGACAGACACCTATATTTTAAATATAAGTTTTGAAAATGTTTAAATATTGATTTTGAGTCAATTACTAACATATTCTTTTCATATTAAAAGATTAAATTTAGTACGATATTTTGTTTTTATTAAAATATATTCGACTTATATCCCAACTTTTATTGAGTATTTTGTATTAACCTTACCTAACGTAACCTAACCTACGCCTTTTCTAAACTTGGAAAATAATAGTTTTTATTTGAACAAACACTAAACTTTGAGCCCACGTTAAGGCTCTTATGAACGTCAACATCTAGACCGGTTCGCAAAACAACACCTCAGAAAAGAACTGGCAATAAACTCTGGTCTCTTTTACTATTTTTTACTAGGCACTGCTATGAAATAGGTTAGGGTGGTAAATACCCAGATGGACAGCTAGGTAGAAGAGGAGTCCTATCACCTACACCTACCAACAGTAATTACTCTTACAAACATGCGTACCCCTTCTCGTTGTAACGCTTTTTTATCAGACCGAATGAACGCAAGGAAGCAGTGCTAGAGACGGGTACCTAATTAAATTGAACTAAACCCTAAACCAACACCTACCTACCTTTTTCGCGCGTGTCATTTCGTCTCACTGTTTGGACTATATAGTCCAAACAGTGAGACGACTTACTACGTTGTCACTCCATCTAGTGGGGCGTTGCCCTACACTTCACCTACCGGTACGAGACTGCCACTAGAGAACCTTTTCCCCCATCGGTTGTCGGTTCATCGGGCTATTTGGCCGTCCCATTGCCACTTCAGCTTACTAATCCGTTAGGCTATATCGTCCACTCGGGTTCTATTGCGGATATCCTCATTTCTAAATTTATCACACAAAGAAACCCCGAGCATAACCCTCTCCATAGCTTGCTTAGTGACCTTGAGTGACAACCATCCCATTTTCAATACATCGTTAATATTAACGATGTATTGAAAATGGGCCAAATTTAAGAGTACGCTTAAACGACAAGCATGTATGATCCTAACACATCTGTCCCGCTTCTTCCACATCGCGACATGGGAATTGGAAAGCGCGAAGTCGATTTGCTTGCGCGAGTGATGCTTCTGCTGTCTATCACCAGGTTGTGAAGTTTGAGTCCAGTGGTTTTAGGTTGATTTCCGGACATCATTCATGTTTCAGCATTCTGCGTTTGCGTATTAAGGATGCGCATTCGTTTAGGATTTGTAAAAGTGTTTCTTACGCTAGAGAATAGAATGTAAAATCCTTGAATTGCTGAGCCCCAAAATATCCCATATTGTTTTTTAAAACAACAATGTCCAATCAGGGCATTCGTCAAAATACTTAGTTTGTTGTATTGCAGAATAAAATCTCTTTATAATTTTAATGACTCTATTTACTCGCATTTACCACGGGGAGTGCTCTGAGGAATTGTTCGGACTAATTCCAGCCGCTCAATTTCACCATCGCACATCGCGACAAAACTTGCGATACCATCTATACCACCTGGACGATTGGCGGTCCACCACTGTGCGATTTAGAAGATGTTTTCTTCCTCGCACAACTCCCTTGTGGAATCGATTACCACCAGCGATTTTTCCGGACCGATACGACTTAGGGACCTTCAAGAATAGAGCTTACTCCTTTTTAAAAGGCCGGCAACGCATCTGCAATTCCCCTGGTGTTGCGTTTGTTCATGGGCGGCGGTAGTCACTTACCATCAGGAGAGGCGCATGGTGAACAAAAAAAAATGGTCTCCAACATATTATACATAAATAGCCCTTTATAATAATTATTCCTAAAAGATTTATGGCCTTTTAACTTATTAACGAAAATGTTACATATGTAATCAAAAATAAAAGTATTTATAAAACTAGGGAATAAGTAAACAGCTGGATCAAACAAAGGCTGAAAGTGCTGCTTACTAGACTCCACAGTGTTAGTAATTCATTAAGGCAATGTTGTTAAGTTGGTACTTTTTATTACAGATATTGTGGTTTGTGTTCTTGGAGCTGTTATCCTCGGTTTTAGCACTTGACAACGGCTTAGCTTTAACACCACCTATGGGTTGGCTTACGTGGGAACGATTCAGATGCATCATCGATTGTAAGAAATACCCCCAGGAATGTATAAGGTGATAAAAACAGTTTAATATTTCCTACGCTTCATCATCTTCATCATAATTACAGCCCATCAAAAGACATCTGCTGAACAAAGGATTCTCGCGAGGGACGGCATAAAACGAGGTCCTGAGCTACCTGTATCCATCGACTTTTCTACGACTTCATATTTTATATTACACATTTTAATATAATATTTCGTTTCATATTTATTTACGGTCTAAGAGTCGATTACTTCATTCGGTTACCAAGCAATATGATGTGTATTAATTATCAATTTGTTGCATCCTTAAAGACTTTTTTACGTGGGGATGTCCTCATAGAACACGCCTTGCCTCATGGGCTACAGTGCGGGACTCGTACCGGTTCAAACTCCGCGGTGGTCACGATCATAAGTGTAGGGGAATTCTGGAATCTCCGTTCGGAAGGTAACCGGTGCCTCTCGCTGTGATAGTAATCACATTCCTGGTTGTACTTGCTTTCCATAAGCACTCTTACTTTGCTATCAAGATGAATTACAACATTCAAGACATCGCTATCTTTAATGACACCTCAAGGTCTTTGGATCTGGTAGATAAACAAAACTATTTCTAGCCCATCATTACCGCTTTGGCGGAGGTTGTTTCTTTATTTATTGACATAGAACTAAACAATACGTTTGCCTCGCAGCGAATCTTTAATAAAGCGGACCACAGACATAATGGAAAAGGAAGGTTATCTAGCCGCTGGTTACAACTATATAGCAGTCGACGATTGTTGGCTGGAGAAGAAGCGAGACGCTAACAAGCGAATGGTGGCGGATCGGCAACGTTTTCCCAGCGGAATTAAGGCGCTTGCTGACTATGTAAGTGTTATAAGATTATTAGGCGCTAGCATTTTTGCTTTGTAGTTTGGTTTTGTTTCATTTTACAGTTTTATGTTAATCGTTGCATTTTAAAAATGTTACAAATACATAGTAGTTGAAATTGAAATACTTGCTAGATATATTTTATTCAAGTGTTAAAATGAATTAGTTCTTTACTTCACAAAATTTAATTATACACGATTTAGTAGGGCATACTATGAGGCTTATTTTCTGAAAAATTCAAGACTGTTGATGTAATGCAATGTGTTTCTATAAACTACATGATTCTAAGCTAGTTAAAAAAATTACTTGATCTCTATCACTATCCAGTAAAAATCTATCGAGTATCATAGGCTTACGCATAGGGCAGTAGAGTTTTTCTGCAGTTTTGATCTCAGCTCTACTGCATCGTTTAGTAGAATATCTTATAGACGCTGTTTCATGTCACCGGATAGATATAATTATATAATTAATTGAAATACTTTTACCAGCATAATAGTACTAGGAGTGAAATTTATTTGTTTTCCTGATAATTATTCTTAATTAGCCGTGTAGTGGCGGTCAAGAATATCCACTACCCCATATCCTCCCGTGGGTGTCGTAAAAGGCAACAAAGGGAAACAGGCAGGAGATGGGCAGCAGCATCTTCCTGATAATAGCCAAAATTACAATAAAAAAAACTGCGGTTGCCAACCCGCTCGCCAAGCGTGGCAACTATGGCAAATACCCCCCTATGAATGTAACAAAGAGACGGCCCCCAGTCCCCGGCGGCCCCGCTATTCCTGGCTACGGTGGCGACCATGGTAACGGCGGGGCAAGGGGTGCTAAGAATCTCCGGTGGAGGTTCGGTTGCCACCTTAGACGACTCGACCTGGCAACGTACAACGCACGCACCCTGAGGATTGACGAGAAGATCGTGGAGCTGGAAGAAGAGATAGACAAGTTGCGCTGGCATATTATAGGATTATCCGAAGTCCGAAGAGAGGGGGAGGACACGGTAATCCTCGAATCCGGCAACTTGCTCTATCACCGGGAGGGCGACCATCTGTCCCAAGGAGGTGTCGGATTTATCGTCCACAAGTCTCTCGTTAACAACGTTGTAAAGATCGGGAGTGTGTCGACGAGGGTTGCGTACCTTATACTCAGAATCACCAAACGGTATTCGCTGAAGGTCATACAGGTTTACGCACCAACCTCGGCACACTCCGATGAGGAGGTGGAGGAAATGTATGAGGATATCTCTAGAGCCATGCATTCCTCCAAAACCCAATATACGGTGTTAATGGGAGACTTCAATGCAAAACTAGGCACAAGAGAGAACGGTGAGCTGAAAGTAGGGAAAATTGGAATAGGGCAACGGAACTCAAGGGGCCAGCAGCTGGCCGACTTCATGGAGAAAGAGGGACTCTTTATGATGAACTCTTTCTTCCAGAAGCGGCCCCACAGGAAGTGGACCTGGTCGAGCCCCGACGGTTCGACAAAAAATGAGATTGACTTCATTATGACGACCAGACGACAACTGTTCAGTGATGTCTCCGTGATCGCGAGGGTGAAAACTGGTAGCGATCACCGAATGGTTAGAGGCACACTGAACCTAAACGTTAAGTTGGAGAGGTCTCGTCTAATGAAGTCAACGCTCCGTCCCCCTCGTGCTCTGTTCCAAAGTCCCGAAACCTTTCAGCTCGAGTTAAAAAACCGTTTTCAGTGCCTAGAAGACTGCAATGAAGTGGACGATATGAATGACAAGCCCGTGGAAACTGTCCATGCAGTCGGAGCTAAGTTCTGCAAGACCCGCCGCAGAAGAACACAAAAACTCTCCGATCACACTCTTAATCTCATGGCTGTTAGACGGGAGATGAAGCTACATTCTTCAACAGACTTGACAGCATACAGGCATCTGAACAGACAGATCTCCAAATGCATGCGGCGGGACTTACGCAACTTCAATACAGCTCGTATTGAAGAAGCGATCGAGCGGAACCAAGGCTCCAAAGTCTTTGCTAGACATCTGTCTGCCAGAAAGAGCCAACTGTCAAAGCTGAAGACAGGATGTGGCAGCATCGTTTCCGGGACACCTGAGATTTTGAGTGAGATTGAGAGGTTCTATGGGCAGCTGTACACGTCATCGTTGGAGCCACACGCAAGTGTGAGTAACGATCCAAGAGCGAGTCTCATCCGACACTATTCCAAAGATATCCCGGACGTCAGTCTGAGTGAGATTAGAATGGCTCTCCAGCACCTTAAAAACGGTAAGGCCCCAGGCGAGGATGGAATTAAAGCGGAGCTTCTGAAAGCGGGTGGAAGACCGGTACTTGAAGTCCTTCAGAAGCTCTTTAATTCCGTCCTCCATGGTGGCATTACACCGGAGGCGTGGAGCAGAAGTGCGGTGGTCTTGTTCTTCAAGAAAGGTGACAACGCTCTCTTGAAGAACTACAGACCGATTTCCCTTCTGAGCCGCGTCTACGTGCTGTTTTCGAGAGTCATTACGAATTGTCTCGCGCGCAGACTTGACGATTTACAGCCTCCTGAACAAGCCGGTTTCCGAAAGGGCTTTAGCACCATAGACCACATACATACCCTCCGGCAAATTGTACAGAAGTCTGAAGAGTACAATTTGCCACTATGTCTGGCGTATGTGGACTATGAGAAAGCCTTTGATTCCGTCGAAATTTGGGCGGTGCTGCAGTCCCTTCAGCGGTGCCAAGTTGACTGTCGGTATATCGAAGTGTTGAAGTGCTTGTACAATAGGGCTACGATGGCTATCCGAGTACAGAACCAGAGTACGAAACCTATCCAATTGCAGAGAGGTGTAAGACAGGGTGACGTCATATCCCCGAAACTCTTTACCGCTGCATTGGAAGACGTTTTCAAGCTTCTGGACTGGAAAGGATACGGTATCAACATCAATGGCGAGTACATCACTCACCTTCGATTTGCCGACGATATAGTCCTTATGGCAGAACCGCTGGAGGACCTAAGCACTATGCTCAATGACCTCATAAGTGTTTCCCAACGGATAGGTCTTAAGATGAACATGGACAAAACAAAGATCATGTTCAATGTCCATGTCACACCTATGCCGGTAGTTGTTGGAAGCACTAAGCTCGAAGTTGTTGACGAGTATGTTTACCTGGGACAAATAGTCCGACTAGGTAAGTCCAACTTCGACCGAGAGGTCAATCGACGGATTCAACTCGGCTGGGCAGCGTTCGGGAAGCTACGGCACATCTTCTCGTCAGACATACCTCAAAACCTGAAAACGAAATTGTACAACCAGTGCGTGTTGCCAGTGATGACTTATGGAACTGAGACGTGGTCCTTCACTGCTGGCCGTATGAGGAAGCACAAGGTCGCTCAGCGAGCTATGGAGAGGGCTATGCTCGGAGTTTCTCTGCGTGATAAACTTAGGAATGAGGATATCCGCAGTAGAACCAGAGTGACCGACATAGCCCAACGGATTAGTAAGCTGAAGTGGCAGTGGGCCGGCCATATAGCTCGAAGAACCGACAACCGATGGGGAAGAAAGGTTCTCGAGTGGCAGCCTCGTACCGGTAGGCGAAGTGTAGGGCGTCCCCCCACGAGATGGAGTGACGACCTGGTAAGACATGCAGGAAGTCGATGGATGCAGGTGGCTCAGGACCGTGCTTTGTGGCATTCTTTGGGGGAGGCCTATGTTCAGCAGTGGACTTGTGAAGGGCTGTAATGATGATGATGATGATTCTTAATTAACGATATCTACGCGACGAAATAGCGTGATATTTTCAGAATGCTTACAATGCAATGTATATATATATTTGAATATTTGTATTATTTGAGACTCTAATATGCGTTACGTTATAAAATCGAACCGTGGTAGTTCAGAGAGCCGTGATAGCTCAGATGGTTAGCGCTCGCTGTACGCTTCACAGTACTCGAGCAACTCGGGTTCGATCCCCGCTGGCACCAATGAAATTGTTAATTGCAATTTTAAGTGCTGATTTATCACGTGCTCGGCGGTGAAGGAAAACATCGCGAGGAAACCTGCATGTCTGAGAAGTAAGAAAAAAAATATTTCGAGGACATGTGACGTTCCCCAACACCCATTGGGGCAGCGCGGCGGACATTTCCTTACCCTAAAACCCTCTCAGAAATGAGAGGAGGCCTGTGCCCAGCAGTGGGACGTAAATAGGCTGCAACTTTTTATAAAAATCTAACAAAGAGTTCTGTGTATACCGAACTATTAGACCGGTAGTTCAGAACAAAAACTGTATCACAACTGTGGTTATCTTATGTGGGAAAGATTACGGAGAATTGACCGTAACTTTGTGCGAAATGTATTTGTATCGTAGTAGTATACATAAAAGCTTTTGAAATCTATAATAATAATTTTTTCTACAAATTTATTATTAGATTTCAAAAGCTAAAAATAAAAAAAGGAGAACTAAAAATTGAGGAAATCACTCAATATTATACTCGTACTTCCTGTCTTAAAAGGAAAACTGTTCAACTTTATATTTATTAATATACAGATTTAATTGACTTCTAAATGTTCTTGTCTACTGAACATTAGGTCCATGGCAAAGGCTTAAAGTTCGGAATATATCAAGACTACGGCACAAAGACCTGCGCTGGATACCCTGGCGTTCTTGGGTATGAAGAGATAGATGTCAAAACCTTCGCCGAGTGGGAAGTGGACTACATCAAATTGGACGGTTGCAATGTAGATACGAGCCAATTTGATACTGGTAAGTACAGAAAGCAAACTACTAATGAGAATGTTAATTAGGATCCTATAGTATGACTTGCTGAGGTAATGCTCTTGAATTAGAAGTTATGTATGTAGCAATTAGAAGCACTCCGTAACGCATTCCAAATTGGAGGCAGCCATTAAAAGTGCTAGTTTGAGTCTTTGATAATTGAGTAAGTGTTTGTGCAATTTGCTGTAGACTATTTTTTTATTTATTATTATAAACGTTACCCCCACACAAGGATTTTCTCCTGTATCGTGGAGGCAGTTTACAAACACAAATTGCACAAGGACAAACATCCATTTGTAGGCCATACAAATACTTGTTCCGTGCGGGATTCGAAACCGCGGCCCCCAGCGCAGCAACTCATTGCTAAGCCACTGCGCCACGGCGCCGTCATCCATTCGTGATCAACATTCGCAAGGCATTCAATGATTGTGTGACAGTAGGACTCCATAAAAGCAGACAAATGTTATATGAAGTTTACCATGAAAGGTCATACTAGAGTCGAATTTAGGGAACAAGTAAGAAATATTAAAAAGAGTGTGCTCCACAGCTAGGTATTTGCATTTGAGCTACAAAATTAAGACCGATTCTAACAAAATTCAAGTAACATGGAGTATAATTAACAGTGAAACTGGTACGATCAAGTCTAGCAATTCAAACCACCAGTTAAGTTTAAACAACTAATTAACTAAATCAGATTAAGACGTTGCAATGGTTTTTGAGATTTTTTTACTGATATTACGTTCTCAACCACTAAGTTCTTCTTCTGCCGTTGCCGAATAATTTAATTACTTAAATAAAATATAAATGCGTCTACAAAGGATTTTATATTTCGTAAAGTATCATCAAAAGATATTTTAAAACTGATACTAAGAAAACCGCAGATCTGTGGGGGATTCGAGTTAAAGTTATTGCGTCTATAATATATACAATCGCACCTCAACTAGCTATTATTTTAAATACTAGTTTTGAATCTGGTGTGTTTTTGATTTCATGAAATATAGTAAAGTAATAGCTTTATTTAAATCTGGTAGTACATTCGACCCCGCCAATTTAAGACCTATTTTTGTACTACTACCACTTATTAAAATTTTTGAAAGAAATATTCTTGATCAAATGTAATTTTTTTTAATGTAAATAATTTATTTCATATAAATATATTCGGTTTCACAAGGGTTCACAATCGACAACTGATGCTGGTGATGAGCTGATTAAATATATCTTCAATGAATGGGAGAATTCACAGGATGCTTTGCGTATATTCTGTGACCTATTCAAAGCCTTCGACTGTGTTCACAATGAAACATTATTCAGAAAACTTCAACACTACGATGTAAGAATTGATGTTCTTAAATTAATTATTTGACATTTAAGTAACAGAACGCAAAAAGTTGTCATTAATAGTAAGAGTTCTCGCGGGTTGATAGTACAAATGGGCGTGCCTCAGGGCTCAATTCTCGGCCCCTTTCTGTTTCTTATATATATTTATTACTTATCTTACATAACCATAACATAGTATTATTTGCAGATGATACTTCATTAATTTTCAATTTAAAACGACAATTATTAAAATATGACGAAGTAATAATGCTATATCTAAATACTTAAATTGGTTTAACGTTAATAATTTGCATTTAAATAGCATTAAAACTAAATGTATGAAATTCATAACTCCAAATGTCAAACACCCAAATATCAATGTATTTTTAATTGGGGAGGAGCTGAGTCTTGTCGATACTACTACTAACTATTACTACTTGGAATCACAGGAAACGCGAAGCTTCAATGGAAACCCCGTATATCAAACTTGCAAGCAGACTTAGTTCTGCAGCATATGCGATAGATTAGCAATCTCACAAGTGTTGAAACAGATAGACTAGTTTAGCTATTTTCATAACATAATATCCGCGGCTGACACTGAAAGTATATTTGTTTTACAGAAGAGGGCCATAAGAGCAATCTATGTATGATTTAAAACTTAAAGAGGTGTTCAGACAAAAAATTAAGAAAATTAATATACTAACTTTGTCCTCTCAATACATTTATGAAAATATAATGTTTTATAAAAATAAGTGATATTCATTGTGTAAACACTAGAGATGGACACAAACTAATAGAACCATTTACTCGACTCCACCGAGTCAGTAATTCATTCTTTTTTTTATAGGATAGAATGACAAACGATCTCACAGTCCACTTGATGGTAAGAGGTTGCTGTGACCCATAGACATCTACATCTATCCTCAATAAAGTATCAAAATGCAGATGCGTTGTCACCCGTGAGGATTAAGTTGGAATGCCTGTTTTCCAGTAAAAAGGGTCTCCGGTTCTCTACACTCACCACACGAAACACAGCAGCGTTAAGCTGCCATTTTAGCTGATATTCTGTGAGAGCGTGGTCCTTCCCCGGCCGAGCCGACCCATTCGTACTACAACTATACTACTAATATAGCTGCAGCATGGCTCTACCACGTATGCGGCAATTCTTGCGGCGATGTATGCAACTAAAACGTCCACCAGCTCCCTGGATGACTGAAAAAGTACGGAAGGCAATGATGTGGCAAATCGAGCTTTTGCCCGATTTAAGAGGTATAGATGTAATCACATGGTACGTTCTGCAAAACACAAAGCAGTATAAGTAATTCTTCGTCAGCTAATGTGAGGAGAATTCCTTAGTTCTCTAGGTGTGGGTAAAAAACACCTTCTCTAGACTGTGGTTCATTTATTTCCCACGACGTTTTGAATATTCATTTTGCTTCTGCTTCTACATACCTTTACTTTTTTTATAGGATAAGGGTGACAAACGAGCACACAGTCCACCTGATGGTAAGTGGTTTCTGCAGCCCATAGACATCTACATCTATCCTCTATTACAAATCAAAATGTAGATGCGTTGTCACCCGTGAGGACTAAGATGGAATGCCTCATTTCCAGTAAAAAGGGCCTCCGACCACCTGCACTCACCAAGCGAAACGCAGAGGTAAACCTCTACTTCACGCTAGTTTTCTGTGAGGTCGTGGTACCACCCCGGTTCGAGCCAGCCCATCCGTGCGACAGCAAAAGCTGCCGCGTGGCTCTACCACTGTTAAAAACACTGCGTAGGGATGTTGCATACCTTTGCATTTTCTATCGAATTTACCACGGGGAGTGCTCTGAGGAATTGTTTGGATTAATTCCAGCCGCCAAATTTCACGAACGCACATAGCGTCAAAATTCACGATACCATCCTTACCATCTATTCTGGATGCTTGGCGGTCCACGACTGTAGTACGTTTAACTAGGAGTTTTCTTCCTCGTACAACTTCTCTGTGGAATTGTTTACCACCGGATATTTATCCGGACCGATACGACTTAGGGACCTTCAAGAAAAGAGCTTGCACCTTCCTAAAAGGCCGGCAACGCATCTGCAATTCCTCTGGTGTTGCGATTGTTCATGGGCGGCGGTAGTCATTTACCATCAGGTGAGCCGCATGCTCGTTTGCCCCCTCTTCTATTAAAAAAAACATTGGAATTTCAATCCGATCTCAAATAGTCGTTTATATAGCTTCAATTACGTCACCTCACATACCAGTCTTTCTTTTTAACTCTATTGATCAGGATGAAAATAGAAAGACTCTTCTGTAAATTAAATCCAAGGCTGTCGGTTGCGATGATATTACTAGAGTCATGGTTGCTAATATACTAGAATAATTCTCCCCGCAGTCAAACACATTGTTAATTTTTTTCTTGACTTGGGTCTGTATCCGAATCAATGGAAAAAGGCTTTCGTAAGACCCCTACAGTATCCAATCACTTCCATACATTTCTTAATCACTGCCTTGCCACATCAATTTTACCTTTTCGATCTTAGCCTGTGTTCATAAGCAAATTTTATATAAAGATATAACCTGCTGAGTACTTTTCAGTCCGGATTCCATACTGGTCACAGCACCACAACTGCCTTACTTAAAATAACTGAGAATATTAGAGAAGGTATGGAAAACAAGAAATTTACAGTTATGGTACTCATACACTTTTCAAATGCTTTTAACACAGTTCGCCATGATATTCTTCTTGCTATCCTTTCCTGTTTGCACCGTTAATCCTGGGGTGGTTCTCATCTTATCTTCGCGGACGTCAGAAGTCCGTGCACGTGGAACAAATGACTTCATAGTGGGTTTACCTGATTTCTGGCGTACCGCATTGCGTTATACTTTCCCCGTTCATCTGCCGATTTTATTAATTCCATCACATCCAATATTGATTGTTCATACCATCTGTATGCTGATGACCTACAAATTTACGTACAGTCTGTTAGTGACATTCATAATGCGATCGACAAATTGAATTCCAAACTCATGTTAGTCCATTATTGGTTCATGCGCTTCGTGTGGTGAGTCTGTCAAGCCTACGAAATGCCAAGAGATGATTAAAGGTAGCTAAAGGATGCTTGCAAAAATTGATACCGCGAGGCTACATTTCACTCATTTTGTTGGTAAATCCTTCTCCATTTAGGCCGCACTGCCTTGAAAAGTTTGGTCGGTAGTTAGTATGATCAATTTGGGTAACTTTGTTGTTATTTTATTTATAGGCTTATGTTATATACATATATCCATTTGTATTTAAAACCAGCAATTCACCCCGGCTTCACACGGGTGATTTCTGGATTTCGACAACAAAGCAATTAAATTATGAATCTAAACCATTCAGGAACGCACTCAAACACACAAAAAATCATCAAAATCAGTCCAGCCATTTTCGAGTTTTTGCGAGAGAAACGGTCAGCAATTAATTATATATATATATATATATATATATATATATATATATATATATATATATCGTGTGCGTGTGTAGTTAATTTTATAGTGCAAGTATAGATTTATTATATTTAAGTTAATATTAGCCTATTTTTTATTTTATTAATATGTTTATTTTTAGTAGGATTTTTTCTGATTTACTGAAATGTACATTTCATTTTTGGCACCTATCACATTATTTTCCACACGTCTCGGTCACGGTTCACTGGGAGAGAATGCCAAAAGGAATTAAGTCCGCCATTTGCAATCCTTTTTTATTAAGGTAAATAAATAAATATACGCTTTTACAAAAAAATCCCAGAAAATATACAAAATCTGACATGCTCAGTGAAAAATTTTACTAAACAAAGTTTATATAAAAAGGGTTATTATAATATTAAGGAATTTATGAATGATGATAACCCCTGGGAATAATAAATATAACTTTTTTAGTAGTAGTAAAGATTTTACATATATGATTGTAAGCTGTTTTTTTAAATCCTGTTGGATTTCTTGCTGGTTCTTCCCAGGACAAAGGTTTTTTCCCGAACCAGTGGTAAATTAAACAAAAGAGTCTCTTTCAATAAGTATTATTTATAATCTTTATTGAATAAAAACAGTTCTGTTTCTGTTTCCGTGTGATCAACAACGTTTCTTTAGGATGTCTGGATGTTTGTCCACATCGCCACTGCGTTATTGAGACTTCGAATTTTAATAAAGATTTAATGAAACGGAATCAGTCAGAAGACCGAATGGTGAAGAAAATATATAGCGCGAAAGTTAATATTAAAAGGTGTCGAGGTAGACCGAGACTAACTTTCGAAGACCATGTGAGCAAATTGCTCGAAGAGGGAAGGGTCAAGAGTACTCGGATACCTAGACGTGCATGTATGAAGAAGTTAATAAATCTGAAAGAAGCGAAAGAGGTATGTAAGGATCGTGACACTTGGTGATCTGTTGTCTCTGGCTAACCGTCAGGGATTGTGCATGAAGATAAGTAAGTAAGTAAGAATCAGTCACGGAGAATGACCTTCTGGACATTTACGCCGATTTGGTCAATAATAATTAGTTAGAACAAAATATTGGGATTAAGAAAGGAATGCGTCATAGGTTTGGACACATTTCACTATTGGACACAAGAAAGAATGTATGAGGAAAGAGTGACAAAGCAAATTTATGAAGCACAAGTGAATGTCAGAGTCGTCGAGGGACGCCTTAAGCAGGGGCGTAGCTATCGCCGTATCAGCCGTATCAATGATACGGGGCCCCCGGGCTACAGGGGCCCCGAACGTACTCGTATGTAAGCAAAACTTCTAAGGACTTCTATGGGACAGGATGTTGGTTTGAATTGTTTGGCTAGCTTAGTTCTTAGGAGTATTAATTGTAAGTAATAACTTATAATCAATATATAATTATTTTAATTCAATGCGAGAGTTTTTGATCCTTTTCTGAAAAATCTTTACCCTTCATTTTGGCCCCCCGACAAATTTTGATACAGGTCCCCTCTAAGACAAGCTACTCCACTGACCTTAAGGTAGATTTTTGACCAAATATGCAATATATGTTATTGAAAATTGGCCAAATTGGAAAAAAGCGAGAGGAGTATCAGAATAGTACCAAGTGGTAGTATGTGGTCGTGTGTGGGGTAGAAACCCCGCTGAGTAACAGGCGTGAGAGTTTGTTGCACCCATAACAGCGTATAAAAGTCCATTGCTGAACATAGACCTCCCCCATAGATTGCCGCATAGAGGGGATATTGCACTAGTTCTCCAAGCGTGGTAATAATGTTTATGTATATGTATTTAAGAAAATATTATTTTAAGAGCCCTTATGCGCTTGTGCTGCTGATTGCATATCCATCCATCTTATAACGGCGTGTGTCACAACACAGGCTTGTAGGAATCGAAAATTCCAGAAAATACTTTTAATACCAATTAAATACATAATGACGTAAATTGTAATGATCCAGGCTATCCCGCTTTTGGAAAGTTGTTGAATGAGACCGGTCGTCCCATCCTATACTCTTGCAGTTGGCCAGCGTACCAGGACAATGTGAGTAAACGTCAATGTTATTAGAGTTAAGAGAAAATAAAGGTCGATTTGTGTATGTAGTACTGTTTATAAGTTTTAATTTAAGCTTTTCGAAAATAGTAAAAAATAAATAAAAAAAACATCTCGTGAGTATCTTAAGAGGAGTCAGAGGAAAACTGGATTGGGAGATGACCAGCAGCATGTTCCTGATCACAACTGAAAATAATAAAAAAACTGCAGATGCCCACCCGCCTGCCAAGTGGTGGGGGAGGCCTATGATCAGCTGTGGACTTTGGAAATGTCAGAAAAATCTTACGTCTTCCGATAGATGGTGGAATATTCTTTACACTTTAGATACTGTAAGTTCATACTGCGTGGATCGGAAGAAAAATTTATAATTTTTAATCTGGAGGTAGCCGTGGTTAACTATGACAACGGGACGTCAAACAACTCAGTCCCCCCGTAACCATGGGTACTGTAAAGTACTCGAAACGTCGGGAATATAAAATAAGTAACGCGATAAAATCCGTAAAAGTGGTTTTATTTAAATTAGAAATCTTAACAGTGTTAAAACAGCTTAAGTTTTTAATTTTTGGTTTACTTTAGCTATTTCCATAGGATAAACTGAAATTATATTTGTTTTACAAAAGAGGGCCATAATCTATGATTTAAAACCTAAAGAGTCGCTGCGACAAAAAATTAAGGAAATTAATATAATAATTTTATCCTCGCAAGCTTAATGCTGCTGTGTTTCGTATGGTGAGTGTAGAGAACCGGAGAACCTTTTTACTGGAAACGAGGCATTCCATCTTAGTCCTCACGGGTGACAACGCATCTGCATTTTGATTCGTAATCGAGGATAAATGTAGATGTCTATGGGCCACAGCAACCACTTACCATCAGGTAGACTGTGTGCTCGTTTGTCACTCTTATCCTATAAAAAAACCTATAAAAATTGTATAAAAAGGGTTATTATAATATTAAGGAATTTATGGACGATAATAACCCCTGGGAAAGAGGTAATCGCTACTAGGCTATTTCTAATTTGTTTTGTGTGGTTAATTGTGTAACATAAGTACATGATTGTAAGCTGTTATTTAAAAAAAAAAGTCCCGCTGGGTTTCTTGCTGGTTCTTCCTAGGACAGAGGTTTTTTTTTCGAACCAGTGGTAATATAAATTAGTGACTTTCAATAAGTATTATTTATAACCTATATTGAATAAAATAGTTTCTGTTTCCTGAGTATGCCAAAGGTATGTATGAGAACAGGCATGACCCAACCGTTATAAGTCTGTGTCTTAAGCTGAATGCACATTTGTCCGCGCCGTACGCGCCGTACGCGCCGTACGCGCCGAATTTTAGAATTCGTTGTATGAAATCATATGAAACCTCTCACATTACACCTGCACCGTACGCGCCGAATTTTATAAAATGCGGTAGGTATACGATATCGAAGGACGAATGCTGATGACGTCACATAACGCGGCGCGTGCTGGTACTCAGGGTTGTCTAATGTTGCCAACGGATTTTCCACTATAACTGGTGGTTTCGACTTACATGATAATTTTTGTATTTTTATAACTTTTAATTCATTCGTAATTAATTATACATAATTTGAATTTTTTTCGCATCGATTATCAATATGTATTCCTAGCGATAAATTATTTAAATATTGAACTAACAAAAATTTGTTAAATTTAATTAAAAAACCCAATTATACCTGATTACTTAATTATCAATAAAAATACTTACCTCATACATACAAGTCTTTTTTCTGGTTCAATTGGCCTTCTAAATCTTGAGTTTTCCATAGAAAGATATGGTTTTAGTATAATATGTAGAAGTTCTTGAAATGTCTTGTACGTTAAATGCAAAATCTAAAAAATCGTTCATCATCATCTAATAAGTTTTTAAATAAAGTATATCCCCTTCATATTCTCCATATAATTGCCTTTTAAATTAATATTATGAATCCAGAATTTTATTTTCTTCTTCTAATCTTTTATCTTCTATTTTCTCTGCCAATAATCAGGCTATTACTATATTTCTTTCCATAGTGATTTCGAGCGATCAATTTCACTGTACCGTTTCACACCAGTGGTTGGAAAAAACTACAAAAGTTGTTGGTAATACAAAAGATTTGCGTACGGCGCGGACGATGCGAACGGGCAAATGTGCGAGCCCATCAGTAAAACACGGCGCGTACGGCGCGTACGATGCGTACGATGCGTACGGTGCGGACAAATGTGCGTTCAGCTTTATTCACGCCCGACAAAAGGCTGGTTAAGCACTTTGGCGTGCATAATACAGATCGCAAACTGATTGTTTCATGTCCGCCTCATCAATACCTATGTTTATTATTATTGAAACATAGACTGTTTAATTTGTACTTTTTTACAGCCGAATTATACTTCTATCGCGAAAAACTGCAACCTATGGCGTAATTATCGAGACATCCAAGATTCCTGGACGTCAGTGAAAAATATTATGCAATGGTTTGCCAAAAATCAAGACGAGTTGGTGAAGTACGCCGGTCCCGGACATTGGAACGATCCTGATATGGTGAATGAAAAAGAAGCTATTAGATTTTAAGCATTTACCCGTTTAGTGCATTGTAAAAATAAACACTACACCATATTCATTACGTCCTGTGAGTAACGTGAGAGGTGACAGAGAGAAACACATTATGAGATGGGCAGCAGCGTCTTCCTAATAACTAGGTAATCAAAAAATGCGTTTGCCAAGCGTGGCAACTTTGCCAAAAATCCCCCCTATGAGGCAAATCTATGGGGAGGCTTGTGCCAGTGGACTTTTGATAGGCTTGTAACAGTAGATTGTCAAGCTCTCTAGCATATCTCTAGCAATCTATGCTTTAAGTTATTTATAAACGTCAAGGACTTGCTACTTACCAGCAGGTGGACTCTCAGCTCGTTCGCTGCTCGAATATTAACAAACATTAAAATTACATCCATACATCCAGTATGCAGGGTTACTGGAAACTCGACAATTTCCTGGCATGGCGTGATAAGTCAAAATGCTACAAACATGACCCCCCATATCTATGGCCGAAAATGAACAGGTCTTGAGATATACGGATTTTAAAGATTTTTCAATAATTACCCAGAATTTCGTATTAAATTTTAAATAAAAATAAAACCTTTTTTTGGTATGATTTCTTTTAAGTTTATTTATTTTCTTGAAGCTTCAACCAAGCGAATAAAATCATAAAAAGTACAAAAAGTATTCACAATAAACAATTATGGGTCATAATATATTGTTATTTTTTCTTTTTACACTTTATGTATCATAAAATGTTACGTACTTCAAAAAATTACTATGACATGAGACATAAAGATATTTTAAAAAACATGTCCATTTAATCAGCTAGTCAGCTACAACCGGTACAAATGCTGTACGAGGGCCATCCAGCGAGTAGACTCTTGTCGTTAAAGAAAGCATACAAAAAAAAGATTTTATTTTTATTTAGAATTTAATATGAAATTCTGGGTGATTATTGAAAAATCTTTAAAATCCGTATATCTCAAGACCTATGAATTTTTGACCATACATATAAGGGGGTAAGATTTGTAGCATTTTGAATTCCCTATCACGCCCTGCCAGGAAGTTGTCGAGTTCCCAGTGAGCCTGTATATTAAAAGTCGACTAAATAAAATAGAAAGAAAATTCTCTAACATCCTTTATCTGGAGAAGCATTTACTTTCTTGAATATAACTAAACTGCACGGATGAATTACGGGGACTATACCACAAGCGGTCTGGTCCTACGATTACTGTCATGTTTTGTCCTGCGAATATGGTATCTATATTAAACAGTGGGCTAACAGGCTTAACGGAAATAATACCGTTTCGTCCGGTTGATATCGTAAGAAGCTACTTTGGGATATGTCAGAAGAACCTCATAGCCTCCGAGAGATGCACGTGACGGGATAAGGCATTGTAGGTGTCAGAACTCCTTTGTGCGATCAATCCATCTAAGTCAATTGTGTTGACTATGGCAAACGTCTATAATGGAAGGGGCTCATGCCCAGCTAGACTTTTGAAGACGAAGAAGAACAGCATAAAATATTTTGTAATATTACTTGCAGCTAATTATCGGAAACTTTGGTCTTTCTTTGGATCAAGCTCGCGTTCAGATGGCGGTGTGGTCGATACTAGCGGCACCATTGCTCATGAGCGTCGACCTTGCTACTATCCGTCCTGAGTTCAAAGAGGTGCTGCTTAATGAAGACATCATTGCCGTCGACCAGGATCCGCTAGGCAAGCAGGGCCTGCGCGTGTGGAACGGTTCGGATTGTGAGGTGAGTAGTTGTGTTATTTGAGCCTTTCATCGATTGTTAGTAGAAATTTGGTCTTAAAGGTTAATGCTCTTAATTATTATAAAACTATGTTTAAATTAATAGGTATATGTTTGATAAAAACATTATATATTTCTGAATATTACCTACTTATGCCAATATCAAGTTACGTAATATTGTATTCTTGTTTATGTGCACACGTAATTCTCGCGGCAAGTTTTCATATCATAAAGGGTTAAAAGTAATAAATTGATTGGTTTGATTTAATTTAAAGTTTATTTTCTTCTTTTTAGAGCATTTCAGTAAAAACTTGTTTTTAAAAATGTTTTTTATTGTTAATTTATTTTTTACTTTTTTATTATAGCTGATCATGTTTTCAAGTCTGTTAATTTAATTTAATGCGTCATTGTTGCTTTTTGATCGCCTTCTTAGATCAACCATCTTGATTTTTTTGTCCTTACAAAATTTGATGGAGCGCCATGAAACTTAGGGATAACCTTTGCCGAGTCTTTAAATTTGGTATGGCGGCCATCTTGTTTTCCGCCATTTTGATTTTTTATCACCATTGCTAGAATTTGCCGGGGTGTAAGCCGATTTTAATTAAGACGCGGCCCCGTTAAGGCTTACCGTTTAGTTGGGTACTAGCACACCATTTTCTCGAAGAGCTGAACACGGAAGTCATTTTGTTTGTATTCTTTTCAGCGAACCCTTTCATTAGATGGGATATCTAATGAAAGGGTTCGCTGAAAATAATATATATGGATATTATGGGAGTAAAAAAATAGTCCTCCATCTTTGAAAATCTACTATATTGTTTTTAGAGTCATCTCATTTTTGTATTCTTACCAGCAAATCCTTTCATTTGATGTCCATTTAATGGGGGTTATTAAAAAATACATATTCCGCTATCTTTGGGTGTCCACCATATTAGATTTAGAGGGATATAATTTTATTTTCGTATTCTTCTAAGCAAACCCTTTCAATTGATACCTATATCATGGTAGCATGGATCCGCCATTTTAGTATGACGCCACTTAGATAGCCATACATTGTCATCCAAACAAAACATGTAGGCGAACTTGCAGCTCAATCGGTCGAGGATAACTGCTTTAAAATTCATTTGCAGGATTTGCCCCTAACAAACATACATTACAAGTTAAATAAAAGCTTTAAATAGGAGACTGTTTTCTTTAACTTTGTCGTTTTTTTCATAACCTTTGATTTTTTTTAGATTACAGTAACAAAACGTTGAAATCTTAATTTTTAGGCCCTAGTAGAACATACCGGCGCGCCTAGCGCTTACGGCATGCAATAAATGATTAGTAAGTTCAAGTCAACAAGCGGGATATTATAATTTTGTAACAAATAAATTTTATATTCCTTTTTTAAGTCAAATAATAATGACTGGTTATTCGACTATTCGTCATAGGAAATAGCGATTAATCGGTATTTACTATTCGCTTCGACTGTTCGTGTGGTGACTTTTATGGCTTTCGATATATGATGGTATAACCATTTCATTTACCACAATCGTAAGATACCCAGAATATCTTTTACTGCGACCGCCAATCAGATTTTCCCCACTATGGAAGAGCACCACATCAAGCAGTAGGCTTTTCCCGGCTGAAGATGAAGAAGACATCAGAGGGTGTATTAAATTGCGGGAAGAGTAGCGATCAGTCAGTGCTTACCGATACCGCCTAACTAAAGACATAGATCTCCCCCATATAGAGGCCTCATAATACCCCTTCTATTTGCTAAAGTTGCAACGCTTGGCAGGCGGGTCTGTAACAGCAGTTTTTATCTTATTTTAGTTATTGTATCTCTGTGTATCTCTGTTAGTTTCCCTTTGTCGCGCTTGGTAAAGAAATAGAAGTGTTGGACAAGATAACAACTATTCGCGTCACCACTAGATGGTAGGTTTCCTTTCTACCTAGGAGTCCGCCTGGGTGTGTTTCTATAAGTACCTAATTCTGTTGCCAAACTGCAGTATTATGTGCAATGCTGTGGTCCGGTCCATATTATACATACATTGTTTATGATCATTTTTCGAAACTCTGTCATGAATCATATTATCATCATCATCATTACAGCCTTTCATAAGTCCACTGCTGAACATAGGCCTCCCACAAGGAATGCCACAAAGCACGGTCCTGAGCCACCTGCATCCATCGACTTCCTGCATGTCTTACCAGGTCATCACTCCATCACGTGGGGAGTCGCCCTACACTTCGCCTGCCGGTACGAAGCTGCCACTCAAGAACCTTTCTTCCCCATCGGTTTTCGGTTTTTCAAGCTATATGGCCGGCCCACTGCCACTTCAGCTTACTAATCCGTTAGGCTATGTCGGTTACCCTGGTTCTACTGCGGGTATCCTCATTCCTAAGTTTATCACGCAGAGAAACTCCGAGCATAGCCCTCTCCATAGCTCGCTGAGCGACCTTGAGCTTCTTCATACGGCCAGCAGTGAAGGACCACGTCTCAGATCCGTAAGTCATCACTGGCAACACGCACTGGTTGTACATTTTCGTTTTAAGGTTTTGAGGTATGTCTGACGAGAAGATGTGTCGTAGCTTCCCGAACGCTGCCCAGCCGAGTTGAATCCGTCGATTTACCTCTCGGTCGAAGTTGGACTTACCTAGTCGGACTATTTGTCCCAGGTAAACATACTCATCAACAACTTCGAGCTTAGTGCTCCCAATAACTACCGGCATAGGTGTGACATGTACATTAAACATAATCTTTGTTTTGTCCATGTTCATCTGAAGACCTACCCGTTGGGAGACACTATTGAGGTCATTGAGCATAGTGCTTAGGTCCTCCAGCGATTCTGCCATAAGGACTATATGGTCGGCAAATCGAAGGTGAGTGATGTACTCGCCATCGATGTTAATACCGTATCCTTTCCAGTCCAGAAGCTTGAAAACGTCTTCCAATGCATCGGTGAAGAGTTTCGAGGATAAAATATCACCCTGTTTTACACCTCTCTGCAATTGGATAGGTTTCGTACTCTGGTTCTGTACTCGGATAGCCATCGTAGCCCTACTGTACAAGCACTTCAGCACTTCGATATACCGACAGTCAACTTGGCACCGCTGAAGGGACTGCAGCACCGCCCAAATTTCGATGGAATCAAAGGCTTTCTCATAGTCCACATACGCCAGGAATAGTGGCAAATTGTACTCCTCGGATCCTCCTATGGTGCTAAAGCCGGAAACCGGCTTGTTCGGGAGGCTGGAAGTCGTCAAGTCTGCGTGCGAGACGATGCGTAATGACTCTCGAAAACAGCACGTAGACGCGGCTCAGAAGGGAAATCGGTCTGTAGTTCTTCAAGAGAGCGTTGTCACCTTTCTTGAAGAACAAGACTACCGCACATCCGCTCCACGCCTCCGGTGTAATGCCACCATGGAGGACGGAATTAAAAAGCCTCTGAAGTACTTCCAGTACCGGTTTTCCACCCGCTTTCAGAAGCTCTGCTGTAATTTCATTCTCGCCTGGGGCCTTGCCGTTTTTAAGATGCTGGAGAGCCATTCTTATCTCGCTCAGACTGACGTCCAAGATATCTTCGGAATAGTGTCGGATAATGAATCATATTATGAATTAAAGTATTTAAAAAATCTCTTAATGAAGACGTGACTACCTTTTACCAGTGACCTTTGACCAGTGACTTTTACACGTGACCTTTTTCCTCTCTAGGATTTTCCCTTGTATTGGGGACTTTCTCTTGTATACAGTTAGACAACAAGACCTGAAACAATTATTTGCTGGCCATATATAAAGTATTTCCGTACGTGTTGCGAACCAGCGGCCCGCAGTTCGAGCCAAACGCTCAATCTAACGCTTTTGATTACAGATCTGGAATCGCGAGCTTGGCGACGGTTCCTACGCAATAGCTTTCGTGAATCTGCGAGAGGATGGCGCCCCATTCACCCTCCAAGCTAGCTTTGATAACATGAAAATACCCAAACAAATTTACAAAGTGAAGGTTGGTGTTCAATTTAATTAAAACAATGGGTAAGGTTGTGAATCAGTCCGCCTTTACTTGTCTTGAAGAAATAAAAAATTAATGAAAAATAGAAAGGAACGAAGAAACTTTATTCTTAGCCACAATATACTACACAGATAAGAAATATATTATAGGGATTAATATAAACATAATAAATAAGTGACTCGGAAACTCCGCATTAGTTGCAGTAATTGTAAGTTTGATTAAGAAAGTTACGAATGGGCTACTCATGAAATTATTTTGGAGACGACGTCATGATTTCTTCTCAAAACATTTACAGATATTCTTCAAAAAGAGATTCGTGTTCAGACCGTGGAGATCCGACCTGGAGATTTACCTAATGATATTTATATTGATCTTTCAAATATAAAACCCTTAACAAAAATTTCTACAAGATAACATTACTTGATGACACTTATAATACATTATATCCCTTGATTTAAAAATCAATAATTTAAATTAAAAAATCCTAACAACACACACAACATACCACCAACACCTGCTGGTGCTAACCAGTGCTATCTTGTAATGGCGGTGGAAGAATATACACACCCATATCGTCACGTGGGTGTGAGGGAAACTGAAACAGGAGATGGGCAGCAGCATCTTCCTAATAACAACTCAAAATATGAAAAAAGTGTAGTGGCCAACCCACCTACCCAGTGTGGCAACTATGGCAAATTCCTCTAAAACATAGAACATGAGACCCTCTATGATGGAGCCCTATGTTCAGCAGTGGACTTTAGATATGCTGTAATGTATGAAAAATAATATAACAATACTGGAATAGTTAAAGTTATTGAAAATTAATTTGTAATATATCTTCCGTTACAGGATCTCTATAAAGATGAAAAAAATGTACTTTGTGACCTTAAGGACAAATTTGAAACGCGGATAAATCCTACAGGTTTGTATTAAAGTTCGCATCTAAGTGAGTTGGGGGATGAGTCGCTCGCGTCAGTAGGCTTCGACCACCTAACCCTATGCCCAACCTACACATGTCCGTCGGGTGCTACTAAACGAGCGACAAATCTATGTGGTGTATGTGGAGCAATTAATGATACGATGGATGAAGTATGCGACATGATGTATGATAGGGGAATTGATGGAAACAATGTGTGTCTATAAGACGAAACGGAAGAAGAAGGCATGTATATTGCTTACTGGTCTGGTGTATACGAGACTGAGCGGGCATGCCAGGGAGTCGGTATCATCCTTTCAGAAATAATAGGTCAATGTGTGAAAGAGTATGAATGTGTAATCCCGAGGCTGCTATGGATATGATAAAAGTGGGCTTAACGAAGTAATTTGTCCTAGGGATCTAAGGTCACTTATATCCGAGAGTAGTTTTGGTAGATGATAAGGATGGTGTTAATAAAATGTAAGGGAAATGAAAATCTTGTTATGTTAGGAGATTTTAATGAAAGGGTTAGGGTGAAAAGGTTCCGGTTATGAAAGGATATTTGGAACGTTTGGTGATGAAAATATAAATGAGAATGGTGAAAGCCTACAGTATGTGTGGAAAATAATCTTTATGTGACGAACACTTTCTTTCGTCATAAGAAGATTTACATCTATACGTACATGGGAAAGAGGTGATGATAGAAGCATAACAGATTTCATAATGGATGAAAGATTGAGGAGCGTAGTGGTAGATACAAGGGTATACCGGGGGTCCAACGTAGGTACGGATAATTATTTAGTCGTATGCTGAATTAATGGTCTATTGAGATGTTGGCGGCATCGAACATCTGTTTCTACCACTACGTTACGGCGTATAAGAATAGAGAGCTTACGAAATGAAGGTGTAAAAGAGAAGTATAGATATAGACTGAGGGGAAAGTATGAGTGGTTTGGATAAATTGTGTATGAATGATTTAGATTTGGAAACTGTGTAGGATATTGTTAAGAAAAGTTTGGTGGATGCAGCTACCGAAGTATGTGGTATAAGTAAGAGAACGAATGAAAGGAAAAATAATATGTCATGGTGGGATGATGAGGTACAAATGGAAGTTGAATCAAAGAAGAGAGCATGGCTAGATTTACTAGCAACCAAGGATGGTAATTCTGGCGGTACGACTGATGAAATTTAAAGAAAAAAAGGCAGACTTTAGACGTCTAAATAAGAGAGTAAAAGAAGTAGTAGTAAGGAAAAAGCAAGAAAGAACGGATAAGAATGATAGTTCTTGTATGGAATGGGGTGTACGTATTAGGTCTTTTCCGTGAGCGTGAGTGTTTTTGTTTTATTATAACTTAGTTGCTAAGACACTATAACTTAGCTTCTTCATCTTTCTTTTTTATCAGCTCGTAATATTTTCCTCTAGATTGAACTCAGGTCAAGGCACCCAGACTCAACGGAGACTAGCCAGCTGTGCACTAGTGAGTGCGCTAATACAGCACTCCCTTTTTCCTTACTCTCATAGTTCGATTTAATTGCAAGCTGACACGGCCGGATGGAGATTCAGCGCATGATTAACAGTTTTACGTGCTTTCCAAGGCACTTGTTTGAAATACCGCTACCTTTTTTGACTGCGAGCTAGATTGAGATTTTCTTTACAAAAAATCTATAATATTGGTTTTTTGGCCCAGACCGGAATTTGAACCTGAGACCACATGATCAGCAGGCGCACTTATGACTACTAGAACAAGAAGGTAGTCGCAAGCTCGTAGTAATCCACTATGGAAATGGGCCTTCCATACTACGCAAGATATATCACAATCGTCTCGCTTGATAGGTGGATTAACGACTGCAGCACTCTCCGATTTTTGACGCCTCTTTCCGTCACTGCTCTGTGTATTTTACATCTGAAACATACGATATGATTATAAAGCCATCTATCTTTCTTTCTTATAAAATAGAAATGACAAACGAGCTTATAGTCCAGCTGACGTTAAGTGGTAGAAGTCAATGGACACTTGGCGGCCAACTTCAAACAAAGAAGTATATAGATGCGTTGTTAGAAGGATAAAGACACACATGGGGCGATATAAGGAATTAGTATTCCACTTGACAACGGCTAAGCTTCGCTAACGTCGGCATAATGTTTAGGGTAGACGCATTTCAACCAAAATTCAGTGCCTACGCTATAGGAATTGGAAAAAAATTACAAAAGTTGCAGGTGTTGTGTATTGTGGCTGCAGCTCAAATCGGCCTTCGATTTAACCGAGGAAGGATCACGCTCATACATAATGCGTGATCCTTCCTCAGTTGAATATGGTGACGAGAACCGGAAACACAGAGTAAAGAATTCGTCACGGGGTATTGCAACTGAGTCCTCAGAGGAGAGAACACATCTACATTTTAATTCTTAATTGAGGATAGATATAGGTGTCTATAGGCCATCCATCTCCTATCAGGTGGACTGTATGGTCGTTTTTCACTCTTTATTTATATAAAATAAACGAGTCAGTCTAAAAAATAAGTTATAACTATGTTTAAGTTTCTTTATAAACTGTTATCAAGAGAAAATGATAGATAATATATCGTATGTAGGTAGTTTTAATAAGTTTAATTAAAGTTTAAAATTTATTCCACAGGTGTTCGCTTTTACAAATTCACACCACTTTGATTATAACGTAATAAGAAGACACTGACGCTAAAGACATTGAAACTAACCCGTAGTTAAGACATGTTGCAGTTACGTTTAAAAAAGTTATTGCAAGAACTGGAAGATGCATTGAGATCCAATATCTGCTATATATTTATTATCTTTATGATTGTTACAATAAATTTTATTTTTCGTATTTTTGTTTATTTTTGTGTTAATGCGAAGAAGAAAATGAATGCGCCAGTGCAAATAAGCACAGCGTGACGTAACCTTGTAATCGAATGGTTGACTATCTAATCATTACAAATTATTCATCAGCGATTAAATAAACATATTTCTCAAAGTATTACATTTAAAATAATGAATTATACATTATATCAATAAGCACATTTTAAAATTACACGATAAACATATGGGCCACAGCATCCACTTACCATCAGGTGGACTGTGTGCTCGTTTGACAACCTTCAAGTTCAAGTCAAGTTGCAGCCTATTTACGTCCCACTGCTGGGCACAGGCCTCCTCTCATTTCTGAGAGGGTTTTAGGGCAAGGAAATGTCCGCCGCGCTGCCCTAATGCGTGTTGGCGAAATTCACATGTCTTCGAAATATTTTTTTTTCTTATTTGTCAGACATGCAGGTTTCCTCACGATGTTTTCATTCACCGCCGAGCACGTGGTAAATGAGCACTTAAAATTGCAATTAACAATTTCATTGGTGCCGGCGGGGATCGAACCCGGGTTGCTCGAGTACTGTCAATCTTACAGCGAGTGCTAACCACCTGAGCTACCACGGCCACTTTTTTGACACCCTTATTCTATATAAACTAACAATTTATTATGGTAGTTTTGTACGTGGTAGAGACGCGCTGCAGATTTATTATGGTTGTAGCACAAATGCATCGGCATGACCGGGATTATGATAAAGAATACTCCATTTAAATAGTCTACATTCTTCTTGTGAGAAATCGATGGAAGTTTTTTTACCATATTACTTCTATATCTCTCCAGGCGTTTTGCATTAAATGGCATAAACACAATTTTCTCAATTTCTTGTTTTTTCTGAACTTACTTTTGGAATTATTAATTTGTTGATTGGTACAACATCTGTAAAAATATTATCAATACAGGTTGTACTAAACCCTGCAATACGTGTAGCTTAAATTTAATACTGATGGAAGAAAGATTTTCCGGCTCGAACCGGGGTAGTACCACGATCTCACAGAAAACCAGCGTGAAGTAGAGGTTTACCTCTGCGTTTCGCTTGGTGAGTGCAGGTGGCCGGAGGCCCTTTTTACTGGAAATGAGGCATTCCATCTTAGTCCTCACGGGTGACAACGCATCTACATTTTGATTTGTAATAGAGGATAGATGTAGATGTCTATGGGCAGCAGCAACCACTTACCATCAGGTGGACTGTTTGCTCGTTGTCACCCTTATCCTATAAAAAAAAAAGAAGCGTTCAGGAGATTGATATTAAAGTCTCCGCATACTACAAGAGATTTATCCTGTTTATTTGACCTTGAACATACTTGGGTTTTGTAAACAATGACAAAAATGAGGTGCTCAAACTCAACACATATCATTTCGACAGGTTGTTCATCGGAGAGACTCACAATATCTTTACGTTCTTTATATAATAAGTATTTACTAGCTAATATTAAGGAGCCACCTCGTAATTTAGTATATATATATGTCGGAGCGTCTATAAAATACTCGGTTGGATCGAGGTAGAAGGGAGGGTATATCGAGAAACTCGCTCTTGTGTCTGTAGTATAAAGTTCACTGTAGGTGCCGTGCGCGAGAGAGTCCGCTTCAGTCATTCAACGAGTGTGGTCATTCTACTAGTGCTACGATAGTGTCGTGGTTCTGTTCGTTGTTGTAATTCTTCTAGTGCAGTCAAGGAGGATTGGTGTTGCTGAGATGCTGTCCTGTTACATTGAGATAAGTAGTGTTGCTGTTGGTTTACATATTTTGGTGTTATCATGTAATTACGTACCTCACGTTACACTGGTGTGTGATTGTGGCAGAGACGTGTTACGGTGTGGTCGAACTGTAATTTCACTATACTGAATGTATAGTGCGTTACGTTGTCTTATTACTGATAATGATTAAACTGCGTAAGCAAGAGAGCAAGTTGAACATCCGCTCTCACACTTTTATTATTTTTTAACAATGAACGCTATCCTGATGTATTTCAGAGATCAAAATTGCGATCCTCTATTGTAATCTCCGACATCAGAAGTGGGATCTCCTGTTGTCATTTCCGATATAAATATATATATATATATATATATATATATATATATATATATATTTATATCTCCAGCACCTTAAAAACGGTAAGGACCCAGGCGAGGATGGAATTACAG